ATGAAGTTAACAGAATGTTCACCTGGAAGGCTTCTTGATGATGCCATCAATCATATTTTACAAGTTATTATGTGTTTTTGTTGATGTAGCTTAAACTTGTGGCCCTCCATATACAACCGGGAATATTACCAGAGATTAATGGTGCTTCCTGAAAGAAATGATGCTTAACCCTACCTTTTCACACCATCTACGGAGAGACAAGATGAGAGAGCTTACAATATTCTACTGTTACATTTTGTGTTTGATAAACTACAGAGTTAGCACTTCAAAGTTGAAGAAATGACCAGCATCTTTCTAGTTTTTTTTAATTAGAAGCATAGACTTGAAACAGTTCCTCGATTTGATTAAGGGTATTCTGTACAATATAAGGGCCAGGAGTAGGGCTGGCAAAAATTGTTGTTAATGTGGTTTGTTCAAAATTGACAGCATTAAGCTCAGAGCATCCTCGGATTGTTAGCTCGTTAACGATGCATCTAGTTTGCCAAGATGGTTATGCTAAAAAATGACTCATTAGTTCGATAGCAAAATTGCTCCTAAACTATAAGTCAAGGCTTAGATATGCGTTCCTTTCACAGCAGGGGTATTCGCCTGAAGAATGGGAACATGCCACATTGGTCCTTAGACGAACTGGATATCAAATAAACTTCAGTCAAAAGGATGAAGTTGTAATCGACGAGAAATATTCATCAGATCTACAGGTACAATGTCTGACAGGCACATTTATCCACTCAGTATTTATGATTGCACCTGAGAGATATAATTTGATCTTTCTATATATTTTTTCTTCGCAGACAAAAATTCCCAATGGACGGACTACTCAGTTTGTGTTAGTAAGTTCTGGGGGTGTAAATCTACCATTTAATACACAGGGAATAACGGAGCCCAATAGTGAGGACAATGACGTTAGGTGCCAACTGTTACCTTACCTTCTCGACCTCTAACCTTTTGTTTAATGTTTCTTTTCACAGACGGTGAAAATTCATAGATCTGACTATCTGACTAAGTGATACTTGTGCAGGCTACGTGATCTGATCGTATTGGTCATGCGAACTTTCCAGAATAAGGTATCTCTTGTGTAGGGTATTTCGGCTTGCTTTTTACGATGCCTGGCTCCTTTAAATCTTTTTGTTCCTTTTCTGTGACTGACTGAAACTGAATTTAATGCAGGCATTAGATGCAAAAAGGAAAGGCAAGGCTTAGACGTGTCGAACCAGAGATTCCTGTCTAGAAGAGTTCTTCTCATTGGTTTGTGCAGTGTTCAACATTTTTTTGCCAGAAGGTGGAAGGCGTTCTTGATTATACCATGCATTCTAAAGATTTGTGTAGAGGCGTTAAGCAACAGAAAAAGGCTGGGTGGTCCTCCTAGGTTATTTTGTGTATAATACTGTAATTTTCTGTAGTGTCTTTTTTTTGTTCCCCTCCGATTTTCTCTTCTTTACATTGTTTTTTTTCTCTCTTTACTGCCCCCTCTAGGTTATTAATTAGACCTGGGACTGCACTTGCTGGTAAACCTTGAGCAAGTCGATTAATGTAATCAATTTCTGAGTTATTCGATAGCGGAGATAGTTTGCCAGTACAGCTGCTGATACCGTTTGTGTTGCTACTCCCATAATGTAATGTGTCCATTGTTTGTTGCTGCTATTAAACTCCTAATGTGTTTCGAAGAAGTAAAGTACCTTCCATTTATTTGGAGAAAGATGGAAGCTGCCTGCTTACTCCCAAAGTATATATGTGAAACAGCAGAAAAGGGTATGTTATTGTAGATCTTGATTAAATGTGCGCAAGGACTCTAGGTTGCTTAGCTAGCCGAGATATCTCTGAACCTTTGTAGTGCGTTGAACTTTGTGCTTGAACTTGCTCACGGAAGGAAAATAACTTGCTACTTGGACCTGACCGCAGGTTTCATTTGAGTAACGGAGCCAGGGAGTGGCCAACTCCCTGTTCCTTTAGACAATAACATATCTCAGTGCCAATCCAATCCTTCTTTTTTTGTGTGGCCACAGGTTTGATGAGCAAGAGCAACACCGCGAACGATGAAATCGATGGCACCCCAAGCCTACATGCCTCCTCCGGTGACCGTGCGTGCTCCCTACCGCCTTCCCTAGTGATGTTGGCCGAGCCAGGCTAAATTTCGTGTTTTGACCCTTTTTAGATATAAATTCAGGATCTGACCCCGGTTAAAAAGAAATTCGGGATATGCCCCTTTTTCTTACCGCCAGTAGCCCTGGCGGTAGGGTTAGACAGTCTACCGCTAGAAAAGCTAGCGGTAGGGTAGTAATCCGCGTCAGCACGCGGAGACGCCCGCCGTCACACCCTACCGCCAGGGAACCTGGCGGTATGCTGTCTAACCCTACCGTCAGGACCCTTGGCGGTAGGATCCGGTCAGTTATTTCGCCCGAGACCCCGCGCCCCTCCCCCTCCCCCGGTCGTTTGGTTCATCTTTTCTTTCCCAACTCGCCCCTCTCTCTCCCTCTCTCATCTCCTCCACTCTTCCCCTCGGATCTTCACCGTTTTTGCGGATCGAGATGACCCCGAAGAGAGAAACGTAAGCTCCTCCGATCCCTCCCATTAGTTTTTGCAAACTTGCTTTCGATTCGACGCATTATTTGCTTCAAATCCCTCATATTTTTGAATTTAAGATTGTTTTAGCTTGATTGTAGTTGTAGTTCTTAGCTCTTTAGTAAGTAGTGGTATGATTGTAGTTGTAGTTCTTAGTTCTTAGTTCTTTAGTAAGCATGTTGATATGATGCATATTGGAGTAAAAAAACATATGATGCAAGTAGTGGATTTGGTTGGAGTAAATATGATATGGTATGATTTTGCATTTGACATATCTTGATATATGTATTTTATTTATTTGATCCATATGTTTAGGTCTGCAACAGTGGCGCAACCATTGCCCCTTCATCTCCAACACGACCCGTCCGGCTTGCCACTTCCGTACGTGTACGAGTCCTGCCCCGAGCTTCTGCAGCCGGTGACCACTTTTTCAGACGAGTTCCTACAGGAGACGAGGGCAGTGCAGTGGCACAAGAGGGCAGAACGGATCTCCGATGGTCAGAAGTGTTGGGCGCAGAGCGTGAAGGAGTGGAAGAGAGTGATTGCAGAGATGGAGGGAGATCCAACTATCTCCCAAGAACGACAGGAATGGAACATTGAGCTGCCAAGCAACGCTCCAACTGGGAGCTGCGCAGTTTGGGCCGGAGGATCTACTTCGAGAGCAATACGGAGGAGAGAGCCAGGATGCCGCCCCCAAGTGCATCGGCGTTCGATATCATCAACTGGGCAAGGGCGGAGGCGAAAACTCCAGCGGGCAAGGCAAGGTGGGACTGCTTGAACGGTCGGATGCCGACCAGCGTTCCGCCTCCGCCTGAACCGGTGGATCCGCTGTCGTATCTGTCTCCACGGCCATGCCTAACATATGAGGGGGGGAGGTTTGTCCGCCCCATAAAAATGTCGATTGCATATGTATCTCTGTTTTAGTAGGGGTTGTCAAACTATGTGGATAAGTTTGCTATTTGCTATTTTCTACTTATGAATCTATGTGTAAACTGTTTGATATTTGTTATGTGGAACCTTTATTATTATGTGAGCTCATATTTTTGCTATTTGTGAAACTATGTGAAACTTGTGACAAAACAAACTATGTGAAACCGTTTGTTGGCTTTCTTTGTGAGCTCATATTTTGCTATCTTTGTGAAACTATGTGATAAAACTTTACAAAAGAAACAATCACTAAAAAAAATGTGAGCTCATATTTTAGGGTCTATATTGTTTTTGAAAAGAAGCAAAATTAAACTTATAAACCATAAAACACAGGACCCTACCGCCAAGGACCCTGGCGGTAGGACGAACATACCTCTCGCCAGGGCACCTCGATATTTCGTTGCAGAAACTTTAGAAGGTAAAACACCAGCCACACCTTACCGCCACGAGTTCTGGCGGTAGGGTTAGACACGCTACCGCCAGGGTCCCTGACGGTAGGCTACTTGTCCACGTCAGCTCGGGCAAACGGCGGCCGTCGCCCTCCGTCGCACCATACCGCCATGGACCTTGGCGGTAGCATGTGTAACCCTACCGCCAGAACCCGTGGCGGTAGCGAAAGGGTCAGATCTCGAAAATTTTCGGAACCGGGGTCAGGTACTGAATTTGTATCGAAAAAGGGTCAGAACACGAAATTCGGCCGCCGATCCACACTCATCGATGGTGTCGATTAGGGGCTCCTGCCCATCGAACATGTGGCGGATGACAACACCGCCAACTACGAAATCGATGAGGGCGAGACCGCAAACGTCAAGTTGTTGTGGCCATGAGAGCCTCCTAGCTAGGCCAACTATGCCTTGGACCTGGCCAATGTCCAGTTTCCACCGAACTCATAGATCGCGAGTAACAAGTACCAAGAAGGCTAAAGGGACAATATCATTATGAAGTTAATCCAAAATGACATCCATTCACATGGTCCACCAAAGGGGATCGATCACCCTACCTCGCCAAGAGCGTAGTACGAACCAACCATGCCGTTGAGTACGTTGAACTACCAAAACAACCAACCCGAACAACGGTATATCTTTATTCTGAGGATGCCTGAGCTAGCCTAATCCCCTGGCCTTTTGCTTGTACGTAACAGACAATCAGAAGAAGACACGGTTCCTTTCAATAATTCGTTGTCAAAAGAACCGTCTTCTTATCCCAGGTTCAAGAAAAAATAGTCTTCTTTCATTGCCTTTTGAAGTCACTACTTTTTTTCCTTTTGCGGGAAGTTACTGTTGAACACCTGAACTGAACTAACCCGTCCAATTTCCCAACGGCGCCACCAAACTGCCACCAAAGCCACTACCACCAACAAACACCACTTCGTTGAACCTCCAAAACCACCACCACGCTGGCACACTCATGCACGTACTAATCCACGGCCAACAGTTGGAGGCTTAGAGCTAGCTCTTAGCTCACCACCATCCTCCTTCTGGCTATCCAGCCAAATCATAATCAGACGGTGAAAAATGCACGCCCGCCGCCTCCTCCCTCTCCTCCTGCTGCTCGCCGCCGCCGGCCGCTCGCTGGGCCGCGGCGGCATCTTCGGGACTGCACCGCCGCCGTCCAGCCCCGGCGGTGGCGACGACGACCAGAAGTGCAGCCGGACGTGCGAGTCCGCGTACTGCACGGGCACCTTAGGTACGTACGTCGTCCGTGCTTGCGGCCGATCGACTGCGATATGCACCGCCATCTCTCTGTCTCTCACTCATACCAGAGGGTACGCTTACGTGTATCAGAGGCTCCGTTGATGCGGTACGGCAAGTACTGCGGCGTGTCCTACACGGGGTGCCCCGGCGAGCCCCCCTGCGACGCCCTCGACGCCTGCTGCATGCTCCACGACGCCTGCATCCAGACCACCGACGACTACCTCAACATGTGGTGCAACCAGAGCCTGCTCGACTGCGTGGCCACCGTGAGGACGGCCGCGGCGGCGGCGGGCGGGGGCGTGGAGGCCGTGCTGACGACGTTCGAGGGGAACCGCTGCAACGCCACGGACGTCGCCGACGAGATCACCTCCATCCTCGAGGCCGCCGTGTACGCCGGGAGCATCCTGCACAGAGCGCCGGCGCCGGCGCCCGCGCCGTAGCTCCCTGGCCACTGTTGATGCGCGTTTGATATGGAGTTCTGAGCAGGTGTGGTCTGGTTGAAGTCGGTGGCCTAGCACCTAAGTAAAGATGGACCGGTGTCGGCAGAGGGTGGATTATTGATTGAAGGGATTTTTTTTCTCTGGTCCTCACTACTCTCGATCCCCTCTGATTTTTCGGTACTGAGCTCCCTTGACATACTGCGGAGTGCAGTTGGGTCACTGACATGTGAGCCAACCAGCTTCCGGGCCCACATGTCAGTGGCTCAACCGCACCCTGCAGTACATATCAAACGTGCATCAACGTGATGTCAGGGGAGCCTTGTTCGATTTTTTGACATCCTCGTGTATGCCCCTATTTCTTTGATGGTGTTACGTAAATGCGCTTCAGCTCCATTTTCGTCGGGCCAAAGATGTTTGACTGTAATTGAGACAATATGTGGACTGGCTTGTGTAAAAGAGAAAGAAAGATTGAAGGCACACATCAAACTGCACTGCATCGTGCCTCCTCCCTCCGATCGTTGATCTAGTTCAGCCGAAACTGCCTCTTGCTCATTGCATCGTGCACGCGTGGTGGCTTATGAGTTACGAACGGGAATGGGAGAGAATCAGAGCTGAGGCGTGTAACCAGGGTTAGGCCTTATGAAGAGGAAGGGAGGAATCGGGAAGAATGGGAAGGGAGAGGTAAGGCTAAACGTTTCTCAAATGACACACATGTAAGGAGGGGAAACATGTCCACGCATTGCCTCCGTTATGGTCAATCGTCTTTGACCTGGTGAAAACATAGCAAAAGTGCATTTATTATGTAACAACACCAAACGGAATGAGGGTAACTGAGGATGTTAAAGTGTATTGATGTAATGTGTATACTGTATCTTGTATAAACCGTATACATGTGTAGATAAGGATGGTGTTGCATATTGTACCAGGTTGTTAGGTTGTTGTGATCGGTCTCATAGATCTTGTATAGGATATAACTTGGAGATCAATCCATCAACTACCTAACAACTAACCTTGTAATCCTTTGCCTATATATAACACATAACGCGTCCCTGCAGATGCATACGCTTCACGCATCTTTATATGGTATTCAGAGCCATTCTCCTCTACAACACATCTCCCTCGCGCCGCCATGTCGTCCTCAAGCTCCACCGCTGCCGCACCATCCGTCCTCATCCCCATTGCTGAAAAGCTCCACCGCTCCAACTTCAACGTCTGGCAATGCGCAGGCCCTAGCCACTATCCGTGGCGCCCAGCTGGTTGCCTACCTTGATCCAGAGAGGGAACTACCGGTGCCAACCCTCTCTGACAAGGACGGCAAGCCCACAAATACGCCCAACCCGGCGTACGAGATCGACAGGGCTAGAGATTCTTAGGTTCTGAGCTTCCTTTTTAATTCCATCTCACCTCCTGTGATGGTTCAGATCGTGAACTGCACCATGGCGTCAGCAACATGGACTGCAATCACCGAGATCTTCATCTCCCAGACACAGGCGGCCACCGTCAACACGAGGATCGCCCTCTCCACCACCAAGAAGGGAAACTCCACCATCGCCGAGTATCTTGGCCGCATGAAGGCCCTTGGCGATAAGATGGCTGCCATCGGCAAGCCACTCACCGACGACGACATGGTGTCGTACATCCTCGCTGGGCTTGACTTCGACTACATGTCGTTTATCTCCTCGGTCTGCGCCAGGACAGTCCCCATCAAGCTGAACGAGCTCTACTCCCAGCTGATCAGCTTCGAGAGGCGCCTCACCATGTTCGAGGGGAACTCATCGTCGCACCCTTCCGCCAACGCTGCTTCTCGAGGCGGATGTGGTGGCTTTCCTCGTGGCGGCGGCCGCGGCAGGAACGGCGGAGGCCGTGGCCACAGTGGTGGCCGCGGCAATGGAGGCAATGGCGGCGGCCGTGGAAACGGCCACGGTGGTCTTGGCAATGGAGACGTCGGCCGCGACGAGCTCCCGGAGGTTTTCTGTCAGATCTGGAAGAAGCCAAATCATACTGCCCTCGAGTGCTATCGTCGCTTCGACATCGCCTTCACCAAGGAGAAAAGTGCAAGCGCCCGTGTCCAACTCCTCCTACGGTGTTGACACGAATTGGTACGTTGACACAGGCGCCACCGACCACATCACCGGTGAGCTGGACAAGCTCACCATGAGGGAGAGGTACAACGGCCACGACCAAGTAAACATGCCCAACGGATCAAGTATGAAAATAACTCATATTGGTCAAGCATATGTTCGTACCCCTACTCGCAATCTTCATCTTAAGGATGTCCTTTATTCTCCTAAAGCCACTAAAAACCTTGTCTCTGCCCATCATTTGTCACAAGATAATCACGTATTTCTTGAAACTCATCCTCGTTTCTTCTTTATCAAGGACAAGGCAACGAGGAACACCCTCCTCCAAGGCACGTGTAGATCCGGTCTCTACCCCCTATCATCGGCTTCCTTAAGCCCGGGCAGGCAAGCTTTTGGCGCCACCAAGATGTCTCTGTCAAGGTGGCACAATCGACTAGGTCATCCGTCTTCGCAAATTGTTCAGCATGTTCTTAGGCAAAACAAAATTCCCTTTTCTAGTCATGAGTTGAATAAAGAAGGAGTGTGTGATGCATGCCAAAAAGGCAAAAGTCACCAACTCCCTTATCCAAATTCTAGTAGCATCTCGAATGCTCCTTTAGAGCTCATTTTGTCTGATGTATGGGGGCCTGCCCGTGATTCTAGCAATAAAAAGAATTATTATGTGAGTTTCATAGATGATTATAGCAAGTTTACTTGGATATATCTTCTCAAGCATAGATCTGAAGTGTTCAAAAAATTTCATGAATTCCAAGCACTTGTTGAGAGACTCTTTGATCGCAAAATCATCACCATGCAAACAGATTGGGGTGGTGAGTACGAACTGTTAAACTCATTTTTTTTGCCAAATAGGCATCACACACCACGTCTCTTGTCCTCATGCTCACCAGCAAAACGGCTCCGCTGAGAGAAAGCACTGTCACATCGTTGAAGTTGGTCTTTCTCTCCTAGCCCATGCTTCTATGCCCTTAAAGTTTTGGGATGAAGCGTTGATTGCCGCCACATACCTGATAAACCGCACCCCTAGCAAGGTGATCAATCTAGAAACTCCACTTGAAAAATTGTTCCATGAGAAACCAAACTACCATGCCCTTCGCATTTTTGGGTGTGCATGCTGGCCAAACCTTCGCCCTTTCAATGCCCGCAAACTTGAATTTCGATCTAAGAAGTGTGTGTTCCTAGGCTACAGCAACTTACACAAAGGGTTCAAGTGTCTAGATATCACTGTTGGTCGTGTTTATATTTCCCGTGACGTCGTGTTTGATGAAACAGTCTTTCCGTTTGCTGCTCTTAATCCAAACGCCAGTGCACTCATTCGTTCTGAAGTCCTCCTTCTCTCTGAACAGCCTCCGTCTACATCTCTTGATCAAGGGGATGAACATATAGCTAATGATCCTTCAAGTAATTTTCATGAAAATCCTGCTGTAAATTTTGGAGGAGATTTTGTTTTGCACCATCATTTTATGCAGCAGGAAGAGACAAACGCCGAACACGAGGATGATCCAGGGTCTGCGCTAGATTTGTCTGGCAGCGATCCCGGGGGTGATCCTCCCTCGCCTGCCGCGCCAGGCAGTGGAGGCGCATCCGCCTCGGGGCCAGGCGGGCCATCGGTGCGCGGCCACGCATCCTCCTGCGGTCCTGTCGGTGGCTCCACGACAAGCAACGGGCCCGGTGGTGGGCCATCTCCACGCGCGGACCGTGACGGGCGGTCCCCTGCGCCAGCGCCTGCCAACCATTTTTCTGGGTCCGGGCGGTCTCCTGCGCCTGGGTCCAGCCAATTGGTGGCTCGACAACTGCAGCCACGGGACGCGTGCGCACCGCAGGCGAATCCCGCCAGCATCCACCTTGGATCAGGTGCGCCTGGGTCCGACGTGATGGCAGATTCGGCGGGATCTTCTGTGGCACCATCTTCTGCTACTACGCCTGTGCCAACACAACGAACAAGATCGCAACATGGAATTCTAAAACCTAAGGTCCGTACAGATGGTACGGTCAGGTATGTCAACAATCGTTTTGGTGGTCTAGCTGTCACAGGTGAGCCAAACAGTTTAGGTGAGGCTTTTGAAAATAGGAATTGGAAAAATGCTATGGATGAGGAATATAATGCTCTTGTTAAAAATAGATCATGGCACCTAGTTCCTCCACAGAGAGGCAGAAACATTATCGACTGCAAGTGGGTCTATCGAATTAAGAGGAAAGCTAGTGGAGAAATTGACAGATACAAGGCCAGACTAGTAGCAAAAGGTTTTAAACAACGATATGGCATTGACTATGAGGACACCTTTAGCCCTGTTGTTAAAGAAGCTACTGTCAGACTTGTTCTCTCTATTGCAGTATCAAACAGTTGGAGTCTTCGCCAATTGGATGTGCAGAATGTGTTTCTCCATGGCGTTCTAGAGGAGGAAGTCTACATGAAACAGCCACCTGGGTATGAGGTAAAAGGAAAGAATCATTATGTTTGTAAACTTGACAAGGCATTATATGGTCTAAAGCAAGCACCCAGAGCATGGTACTGTAGGTTAAGTGAAAAACTGTAAAGACTTGGCTTTAAACCTTCAAAGGCTGACACGTCACTCTTATTCTATAAGAAAGGTAAGGTAACCATTTTCATGTTGGTATATGTTGATGAAATCATAGTAGCTAGCTCATCGCATGAAGCAACCAATGCATTGCTAGAGGATCTTAAGAAAGATTTTGCACTAAAGGATCTTGGTGACTTGCATTATTTCTTGGGAATAGAAGTAAAGAGAGCAACAGATGGTATAGTCCTGAGTCAGGAGAAATACGTGTCAGATATACTGAAAAGGTCAGGTATGATGAATTGTAAAGTTTCCAACATGCCTCTTTCAACTACAGAAAAATTATCCAAGGAGGAAGGTGAGGCCTTAGGAGCTGAAGGAGCTACAAATTACAGAAGTGTGA